TTTTAACAGCAGGAGGTACAATGTATAAATGGATTTCAGTTTCAAGCCGCAGCCACTACCTCTTATCTAATTTATTTATTATTATTGTATTGTATTGTGCTAGCATTTTACAGCACTATCCATGACATTCCAGGTGCAGGAAGGTTGCAGGGTGGCGGTAATCCCACCTAACCTACTATAGGATCTAAGGTCAATCAGGTATCTGTCATTGAGCGTGGTAGGCTGGAGATGCTTTGCCTGTGATAGCTTGCTCCAGGTTGACCAATTACATGGCTTAACAGTGTTGTCATGTCAGTGTCACAGCACAGGGGTACATTTATTGATTTCACCCCAGTAACCTTAAATAGCCCATTTACACCTTACTTATATTTTAAATCAGGCAGTCTATACCAGTGTTTCCTCTAGGATGGAGTTATAGCACCAGAGGGGAAGCGAAATTGTTTTTGTGCGCGTAGTGTGTAGTATGTCTGAATATAAAACCCTAACACAACATGTCTTAGCAGCATTGCTCTTGTCTCCATGAGCATGCGATGCACATTAGAAAAGCTTAAACTTTCAGTTTTTTGGCATAGTTTTAAGTCAGCTTTAGATGAATGTTTTGATGGTGGTCGTAGTAGTCATGGTCAGAGGGGTGGGGGTCCGCCCCCAAGAAATTTTTACATTTTCCAAAGATAAATATGTAATTCCACATCATATTGGGCCATTACTTTCACCATATCTCTCAACAAATGGTTGAAATAGCTAGAGCAGATAATAAATAAACACCCAAAGATCAGTCTACTGGGGAGGAACTACAACTATTAGATTTGGGGAGAGTAATTTGGATGGTGATTTTACATTTATGGCACAGCATGTTTTGGGCATCACCCCCTAAGCCTTACCGGCAGGAAAACCTTGTTCATATGACCTCAGAATCATTATAGATACGATTGTTCATGTTTGCCTTTTGTATCTTCATTTTACAGCTTTAGACATTTATCTGTAGACATTAATATAAAAAATAGGCAACATGAGAAACCACCTCCCTTCTGAGGTGCGATTTATTTGCACATTAAAATCCAAAAAGAAACGCCTCTTCAGTAGCTTCTAAGGACTAGTTTGCATCACTAATTTGTTTTACTAACCTCGGCTCCTCCAGTCACCTCCATCTTTTCTTTTCCTAACAACCACTTTTTCAGACTCATCTGAAAATTGAAAAATAATTAAGGATGTAGGCCTACCAGTCTGTACAGGACAGAACTGTAGGCTACACCAGTTTAGTTTGTACCTGATGTTCTCAACATTGGACAAGCAGGTAGTAATAAATTACAGCTACCAGTTACTTTCTATGTTTTAGCTAATGTTAATTTAAAGCAGCCAAAAGACGCAACCTACTGTATAAGCTTTCCTGCTCCAGCAGGTGGGGAAACAACAGACTTTTCTTGGTCTTGAGAAGCTGACACGCTGTAACCGACACCAAGCATTTAGGCTACTGCCAGATATTGTCACTTTCTGTCGCTCGGACAATGAAACACTCACTACCCACCTCCCGATACGGAGTTAGTCCTACATTGCTGTTATAACAGCACCTGTCATGTAGATGTTCACTGAATAATGAGGAGAGGAAGCGAGCCAAGCGATAAGTGTTACCATGCTCGCATAGTACGTGAGTGAAAATTAGTAGCGAATTGATATGAGTGTGAGAATTTTTTGAAGCAACGGTCATAATTCAGCAGCGGTGCAACGCCGTTCCTGAGTGCATATAGGGGAAACACTGTATACAATTAGTTTATATCTTTCAGTTTTCCAGCATTTCCACCCTGTCTGTGTCACTCAGCTCTAAACACATTCACTAGGCTATTGAAGATGTAAATCTTTTTATAAAAATGGATCACAAATATATAGTTTCATTATTTAAAAAGAAAACAGTAATTTACCTAAAAAGCTGACAACTGCAGTTTTTAAGAAATGTGACTCAAACAAGAGTAAATAGTGTAGAGTATTTATAGAAGCAGAACGCTGTATTTGAAATTTTCTCAAAAAACGAGCAGCCACTTAATTGATTAATCGATCAGCTATTTTGATAATCCAGTAATCATTAAAGTGGACCTATTATGCTTTTCCTTATTTTCTGTCATATATATATATATAACAAGTTTCATCATCATCATAACAAGTTTTGAATAATGAGGTAAATCTATATTAAAGTAATCCCTGTGAGCAAAAAGCTCACTATGGTGTAGAATACTAGATTTCTGGATATCCTTATATAGTCATCTTCTCATATTTCGCACCAGGCACGGGACACTCACGAAGTACAGGGACGCGCCCATGCGCTCAGTCTGTCTCGGTTATTTGACTGCTAAAATAGCTTTAGAGATTGGCTTGGATATGTGAGACTACTCTGCTCAGGACTACTCTTCAGGTTTTTGGAGGTTGTTCAATATGTCCCATATAAAATGCCTTTTCAATTGTGAAGGCAAGACAAGCAATTTAATATCATCCCCTTGGGCTTTAGGAAATTGTGATGGCCATTTTTCAAAATTCTCATATTTTATATACCAAACGACTAATCGAGAAAATATATATAACTTACATATTATAACTTTGCAGTCATTAGGACCATACATGTTTTTGTGCAGAATCTTTATTTTCCATAGAACTAATTCATTTATGTGTCAAATTGTTTTGAGGTTGGTTTCAGTTAAAATAATGAGACAATCGAGCGTTTTCCGAAATCAATAATAGCTCAAAATGAATGATCTTCAAAGAAATTAATTTACACTCGTGAGGAAGAGGAGAGCGTGCAAACCCCCAGTTGTTCACACAGATGACTCATGTGTGACTCACTCTACTTACATATAAACATATCCAGACTGTGGTGAACTGGATCACCTTTTCACTGCCAACCTTGCTGCTTCACTAATCACTCAGCAAATACCTCTGCTATGTTCATTGCTGCTGCTCAAAATTTCATCAGCCCGAGAAGCCCTGAATCCACCTGTAAGCACTGATTCTAGGTTTCTCCTTTGTGGTAAGTTTGTTATCGTCACACCGTGTTCTCTGAGTGTGCTAAGCTTTAAATTGTATGCTAGCAGGCGTGTGATGGGGACCCATCCTTGTGAGACATAAAGAATGAATTCTGATTACTGAATTATAACCAGGCTTCTAATTGAGAAATATATTACTGACTGTAGGGAGTCTATACATGTGCATGGCTAAAGAACAGAATTTTTATTTCAACCATGCTTCATAACTTAGCCTTGCCTGCATTATTTATTCAGTTTCTTGTAGAGTCTGCCTTTTCCATTTCAACTCATATAATTTCTGCATAAAGTATTTGACTGTTGACATCCATATTATTGCACAACATAAATATTTATTTTAAAGCCTGGCAGAGGGCCATCGCAAACACAGATACCACTTTAAAATCTAGCAGATGTATAACAACATATAACTATGTTGCTTAGGAAAACCACATTTTCCACGCACAGCCATTTTACTGTCATACACTCACAACACTGTTTTTTCTACCAAGCTGAGATCACACCTTTCGTATAGCATGCAACATTTGACATGGAAATGTATCCGCTGTTGAAAAGCTGGTCATATAAATACAATGTCCAGCCTGTTTTGAAAGGTTAAACTCAATACCTTTCAGACTAACTTTAAAAGAAAGACAAAAGCCCTCCTGATCCGTACATGCAAAGTTACCCTGAAGATACATATGCTTAATCTAATATTTATGCTATGCAAATTTCTAAGTTGAAGCTAATTTCAAAACTTGGGATGCAAAAATGAAAACCTTGGGGCTAGTTAACTAATTGACTTGCAAATGTGTCTTTGTTGCAGTGTCTTGTGAGCTAAATGGATGTCAATAGGTCAAGACAGATTCACCATAGGAAAAATTATTTCATGATCCTCTGACTGCATGGAAACATTTTTGGACAATGTTTAACACATCAGTCTTCTCTCAGGCTTAAATCACAAACTGTTATCGGATAAACACAAATGTGTGCATTATCACTAAAGGCACTGGGATTTTACAGTACATTTACCTTTTGATAAACCTGGCAGTATTCTCCATAGGACAACCCATCTTGTACACCCAGTGGATCAACTAGCCTTTTACTATTAAAATACCACATTTCTGCACATGCTTGAGAACTTAAAATAAAAAGCATTCACAGCAATGAAAGCAACCAAAATCTGATGTTACAGAAGCCAACACATCCCCCTGAATCAACTCTATACAACCAACCTTGGGAGTACACTGTATTTAGTGAAACAATATTTTGAGCTAAATAAGTGAGCAAAATAGAACATACAGGCAGGCTAGACTAATGTTTTGTCAGCAGTACAACTTGTAAATAAACTAATTCACGTGGTTAATAAAATCCCCTTGTAATTGTCCACATGGGGTGGCTTTAGCCGCAAAATTTAAAAAAAATTAAAAAAGAAGGAAAGAAAGCTCAAAAAAAAGAAAAGAAAAAATCAAACTATGAGCAAAATGATTTGTCAAACATTTGTCTACTTGCTCAGTTGGCCATGGTCACGATATCGAGTAATATGATCTCCCTTTCCATTACAGTTCAATAGGGCGAACAATTTTACATAATGGTGCAGTTCTGCTCTGAACAAAACTGCTCGCCAAACTGATTTTGATTTCCCACTTAGCTTAATTATAGTAAACGAAACTCGACTCAGTTTTTTAAAAACACCAATCACCATTACTTAAACACTGCTTAGCCAGCGCGTGTCACATTACAAATACAATCATAATTGAAATGCAAGCTGAACATGTCTCACTTTATTTTTTGTTATGGTCGCACGCACACGCAAACTGTTAACACCGGTTGGAATATTACTTTTCAGAACCCAAACACAACTAAAACCAGAGCCACAAACAGTCTGTCGAATCACACACATCTTTATTACTCGAGTTTATTCTAGACCACTGTGACCCCCTGTGGGGTAAAAAACCTTCAGCTCATCAAAGAGTGTGTCCGTGCTGTGCTTACCTCTAGATAATGTGGACGGGACTTGCGAACCGAGAAGCACGAGGATGCCAAAACTCAAGTAGCATCCTCCCGAAAACTGTCCCATCACTGCTCTGCTTGTCTCCCTCCCCGTCGGGTCTGGGGGCAGTGGCCGTGGGTCTCGAACATTTGTTGTCTCCTCGAGGCACCTCTAAACACGTTTCCGTGCCCTCGCGAACGCTCTTTCCAGGTGTTGGGCTAGTTAGTGTCCGCCAGTAGACCCGCCACCTCGCGGAATCGCAGTGCGGAGGGAAGAAATGGAAAGTGGTGCGGAGCTTTCAGCAGCCTGCACTCTTCTGCGCGAGAGTGGAATAATTACAGAGCGCGCGCGAGCCAACAGCTTTCGGGTTTTTGGAGGGCGAGTGAGGAAGAGAGAAAGAGAGAGAGAGAGGAAGAGAGACTGAGACAGCTCTTACCCAAACCTCTGTGAACCTGTTGAGAAATGCGCACGTGCGTACCGGTGTTTATATGCGCGCGCGCCTGTAATGACCAGAAAGAAAACGTCTTTCAATTATCACACTCTTTTTTTTTTTTTTTTCAGCCACATCTCAAGCAACCTTTCTGGCCACCAATGTGGTCATTGAAGTCGACACCATTGCCTTGGAGCTCTTGCCTGTGGCGTTGTCTGAAAAATTAGGTTTTTACTAATTAATGCCTATCTTCAGCCTATGAGCATATGGCCTCTGATTGGTGTCCAATTGCCAATTAAAAAGGCAGTAGCTGAGTTAAATTAGGCTGTTTTCCCCTGATGATTTCATTCATCTTATTGTTCATATTTGAGTGATCAGTCAGCCTTACATTTTTTTCTCAAAGGAATATAAAGCAGTGGCAGAAGAGGAGTTTAGATCATTTGCTTAAGTAACAATAGGCTACACATACAATTACAAGTAGCTAAAAACTACAGAAGTATAATCAGCATTGTGTACTTAACGTATTTAAAGTATGCATCCATTAATTCATCAATACTTGTGTTGTATTATTATTGTATTAAACTCAATTTTGGATTATTTTTGCTGAAGCATTTAATCAGCCTCTTATCTATGTACTGATAGGCAGAGGTGGAATAAGTATCCAAATCCTTTACTAAAATAACACATAAATAAAATAAATAGCATTACTCTATTAAAAGTAAAAGCCTTGAATATAAAATCAGCAAAATGATTTTAAGAAAATGTACTTACTATGCAGGCAAATTACATTGTCTGGCAGCATCGTATTGTTATATATTGTAGTACTTGACATTAACATGAAATAGCCTTTAAATGTGATAGTTGGCTGAGGTGAACCTGATTCTAGGTTTTTTCACACCACTGGATTCTTCAATTTACTTTAAAACAATGCATCCTATTTTAAATACTCATCATAAAATCAGGTTTTTAAAATCAGAATTTGTAAAGTACCTACAGCTGTCAAATAAATGTAGTACAGTAGATGTATAAAGATAAAATTAATAAAATTAAAATGCTCAAGTAAAGTGTCTTAGAATTGCCACCACTGCATATACGCTATGGTCGGGTAGCCTTATATCTTATAAACTGATCATGTGTTTTGAAAGAACATTTTGTTGTTTATAAGTTACCTTGTAGGTGTCAGATGAATATATTTCCTTCAGAAATCACTGCAGTTTAACCTTCTCTGACATAATTACCCTATTGAACACAAATTCAGTGGTTCATTTCCCAGAGTTCTTGCCAGGGGTCAGACCGCGACGCAAGGTTAACTACTTGATAATATTTCTAAAGGGAGCCATAAACTGTGCATTAAATATTTGGGACACCCTTAAGGCTATTGAGCTACCTGACAGACCATGAGCAATGGAAAGACACTGCAAATTATCTTCTTTTGTTGACTGAATATGTCTGTTTTCTTATTTATAAAACATTAAAATAACACATTTACTTGCTAGTGCACTGTAAACTCTAATCCTGACTGATTACGCAGGATTTGAGACAGCAGAAAAACATTAGTAACTTGTCTTTAATGTGTGTGTTTGTGGTAAGAAGCATGGGCTGTTGATTGACAATGAAATAAGTGCAACTAAATGCCCCTGGGCAGCTCTATAGTGCCTCACACTGTACTATAATGTCCCTGAAATGCTCATGGGAAATGGCAAATGTTCAGTGATCTACTGTGGGAAACAATGTTGTGGGTCATTAATGTGGGACTGCTAAAACGGCAGCTCTTGTGTATAATCAACCCACAGGACAAAAAAATTTGGCTATGGAACAGGGCAGTTCCTGTTCAGATAAGGTTCAATGCAATCCAAAACAATAAATAAGTTTACAAAATAAATAAATAAATAACCTTTTCAGTGGAGATAGGGTGAAAGTGTGATTTCAGCCTGTAAAAATGTATTTGCTCCATCCAGGGTACCTACAACACAAAATATATTGTTATTTATAATATTGTGTTCAAATTCAGTAAAACATGTATGTGCAGAAAAATATCTTTAAAACGCTTGTTTGACAAGAGCGAGGGAGTAAGCAGGCTTGCCGGTTCTAATAAATACATAAGATGCAAGGAAATATCCTGCAAATACATGTTATTGTAAATACACAGACATGTTTACTTACAGATGCATCCCAACAGTGTTCCACGAGCCAAGAGACATCACAGTATGTGTTGCTGCCTAGATTGTTTTGCTTCATTCATCTGCTGGTGGGACACACAGAGTGTGTGAGTTCTTGCATCGAAATTCTCTGAATTGTACAAAGCAAGCAGTTTCTTGCTTTTACCACATAAAGCATTTAAAAGAACAAGGCAAATAGTTCATCGCAACCAAGCTGCAGCAGCATCGACTCACAGCAGCAATGAATGACAAGCATGAATAATCCACCATGTTGTCTTCTGTATATTGAATTTGGTGTGTATCATGGAGCTCCTTTCATTTTTCTCACTGTGTATTGCCCGTTTGTGTATGTTTGTCATTTACAGTCCTCTCACAACTTTGCAGGGCCTTCATTGAGGAACAGTGAATGTCACTTATTTACTCAGTCAAATGAATCTGTCTTGCAAAAGAGCCGTGCCTATGACAGTGCTGTTGTTTTTAATATGCAATGTTTTGTCTGAGTGGACATGCGTCATGCTTCGCAATCATAGTGAGACACATAGTCAGACTTGAGTGGTGCCAGTTTCATTCTTTTCTTTTACAGAAAGAAACTCTTTCACAGTACGTTGTTGAGTGTTTGGCAACCAACACCTCCAAAACATGATAATTAGCAAATTACATTTCATTAATATAATCCACACAAAAACAAGTAAGAATGACAGTTTGCTGTTTTATTTGGGGTTATGTGCCAGACGGCAGCTTGACCTTTAGTGTACAGATATGAGAGTGGTATTGATCTTCTCATTTAACCCTCAGCAAGACAATGAATACGTGTATTTTCCAAAATGTCACACTTCCCTTTAACCATAGTTTATTTGCCATGTGCCGATGCTGCAGAAAGTGAGAATTTAGAAAACCTTGGCACTAGAAGTACAAAGAAAAAAGTCACAGATTTGCTAGGGCTGTATGTTCTTGTTTGGCGCTTGAACTGGCATGGACACATACTGTGCTGAACTGTACCGTATGTGTATGAGCAAGAAGATGATGTGATACACATTTTTTGCTGACTAAAAAGGGTAGTAGCTGCTGGTGGTAATGTGCTGTAAAAGGTAAGTGTATGTCAATATAACAGGAAGAGAAGAAGGCTGCTGCTTTGAAAATCTTTTATGAGGTATAAAAATGAATTCCACAGGTTTTTTAGGGCTTAAGGATATCTCGTGTTTTGGTGAGTAATGTTGAATGCAAATGTATATGGAAATTCCACAAGGTACCTTGAGTGCATCACTTGAAATGTAGTTAAGAGATGATAGACAGTTACTCATCGACCTCCCTTACCGCTAACCCGGAGTTTTGAACCAGCAATTCCCCTGTCGTAAGCCCACAAGTCCAATATTCCCGGGGCTCAGCAAAATTGAGTATTCAATATACAACGTGTGTGCTGATACTGAAATAATAGCCTTCGCTTTCCAATTCACCATTGTTCTTTGTTGTTTAGGACCTATAAGGACGTGCATAGCCAAAATATGCAATTATGTTACAAAAGACAAGAAATAAAATCAATGTATTAGGTTTATTTTTCTATCTAATTTAATAGTATAGTTCTCACTATTCATATATCAGTTACTGTAATCAATAATGGAAGAGCTTAGACAAAAGCACAGCATTATTTATTGAACAAATAACTCATAGAGAGCATACCCTAAGGAAATCTTTAATGTCATGTTCTAAGTTTGTGCTGAATAACTCCTACACCATGTTCTATTTAACTTTTTTTAATACAAACCACAATAAGTATTTCATATACTGTATTAAAAGCCACAGGAAAAAGGCGCATCGTGGATGCTAATTCCATAGAACACATACTGTACAATACCTATCAAGATACACCAACATGTTACAAACATGCAAGTAATTATCACAATTTTGGATATCAATAGGACGTCAAGACAGCATAACTAAAACATTTTATGATACCTCTTCTAGGCTCTGATCTCCTTGTATCAAGGCACACACACAGGACTCAGGGTACAAGCTCGTTTGGGCGTGAACAACCAGTGGTAATTTCGTGATCAGAGGCAAGGGATGACGACCTCCAGATTAGTTGTGAAAGGACGCATACATTAATAGTAGATGTGGTAGGGAGCTGGTCAATAAAATCAGGTATTTTCATTGCTTGTAAAAGCAATGCACCTCCCACCTGGGCGTAATGGCAGTCATATAATGGAAAGGAGAGTCGACAACAGCTTCTCCTGACAGTTAAATCATGTTCTGGTGTAGGAGGTGCAGAACCAATACATGTATATGACACCATAAATGTGAATACATGTCCCAAATATGGATATACAACACCTGAAATCTGTGGTGGATTCTTGAGGCTGCACTCACTTTTCTTTAAAAACTGACTGGAGACATTGATCCCCACAATAACCACAGGGAATATTCATTACTCTTTCTACAAGAACTGCTTAAGTCCTCTTAAGGTGACAAAGGCTGTGCTCTGCTTGCCTACCTGCCACATGTTGCCTAGACTAGAGTTTAGGTGGCAGCAGGTATTGTGAACAGTTTCTGTTATGATGGTCAAACAGTGGGATGTTTGCCAAATGCTGTGGGACTATGTGTTGAGGAGAAGTTGCACTAATGTGTACTTCTAAAAATTAAACACTGCTGCTGTCTGCTAGCACTTTTTCCAGAATAACTTTTGATTAATCTCCAGAAATGTTTCATTGACAGTGACAAAGACCGTGAAGTACATTTTCTAATCTCTATGTTTGCCATCCATTTCCACCATCCACCTATCTAGCCGAAACTGGCACTAGCTTTGTCAGGTCTGCAGAGCACAAAGGGTCTCTTTACAGTCCTGTTGAGCACAAAACCTCAAAAGGAAGAAGACAATACCAAGCAAGTAACAGTTTAGCTATTAAACTCGATAAATTCCTTAAATTTAAGCAAAGC